GGAAAACAGTTATTTTTTATAATAAATAATGATGTAGGAATGATCTTGATTTTAGCTAGATAATAATGATACTGCACTACAAAATTAATACAGATTTATAACTCAGCTTACATGAAATGTGATGATTCTTTTAATTGAAATAATGACAAACACAGTGTCAATTTTACAAAACTTCTGTAACTCAAACAAGTTTATGATTTATTCTGTAACTCATATTCATATAAAGAAATCAATTTCTTAGCAACTTTAACATCAATTAACTTTTTATGGGCATATTTATTATTTGCCACCTCTTTAAAATAATCTCAAACACTATTATTCTATTGTATTTGAAGAAAAAGGCAGCTTCAGGCTTGAGTTGGCCTGGTGATTAAAGCATTTGACTCCTAATCTGAGGGTCACGGGTTTGAATCCCCATTGCTGAACATGCTTGCCCTTTTGGCCATGGGGCATTATCATGTGACACTCAATCCCACTATTTACTGGCAGTGGGTTGTGTTGACTAGCTGCCTTACCTCTAGTCTATCACTGCTATATTACAGATGACTAGCTCAGATAGCCCTTGTGTAGCTTTGGACAAATTTTAAAACCAAACCAAGTCAGTATCATAAAATGTTAATAATTTTGACATAAGCCTTTTGTTGAAGAAAAATATGTTTTCAATACAATTTTAGAAAATCATCTTCACTCACTTACCATAGATAATAAACCTGGAGCATCATGCTTTAGTTTAAAGTTTTCATCAGCAAAGGTACTACCACCAAAAATACTCATCACACCAGTTCCATCTCCCTGAAAAACATGCCACAAAGCTTGTATGTATGCAGGTGAATATATGTATGTCAAAGGTTTACAAGTCTAATTATTCCAATTGTAGAAATGAAAGTTAATTACAGCTTTATACATAAAAAGTACATGTTGTAATAAAATACTTAAAAAATGTGGTTCTATGATTTAAAGTTACCAAATAATATGTTACAATAAGTTAAAGTTTTCCATAAGAAATCCCTCAGAAATTAAAAAAACAACAACAATATAGGATTAATTTTTGTTTTAGGTACATTTCTATTTTTACCTTCAGAAGTTCCATTAAGAATAATTAAAAAACGACAATATCTCAGCTGATCGATTGTTTTGCAGCTGGACACGCATATTTGTAGTTAATTTTAATGTCTTTACGTGTCGCCACAAAGAAGAGTATTTCAGGCAAGCATTTATTTCGTCCGCTGGTGTCGATCGAGGAATTACAGGTAATGTTTGCCTGAAATCTCCTGCAAGCAATATTAATGCATCCCCAAATGGTCTGATGGTTATTTATATTTTAATACTAAGATATTTTGTGCAGTCTCATAGAAAAAATCTTAACTAGAGAATTAAAGATAAGAGAGTTTGTTTAACCAAAACTAGAAAAAGCTGAAAATGTACAAATAAAGTTGGCAAAGTTTTTACTAATTTATACAAAGTAAAGAATTTTCGTATTGTAGTAAGAGAGTCTTCAGACATTTTAACCTAATATTTTAAGATTTTATAAAAATAATAATAAATAAATAATAATAAATAATAATGCATCATCTTGCATGGATATAATGAGTTAAGTGTATATTGTAACTTTGATTTGTATAGCTATTTACTTAGTCATGTGGATAGTTCCCTGTATAGAAAGTGGATAGTTTTCTTAATTTTTAAGAATGTCACAGTAACTTGAAACATAATTTTACACATAGGTATTAATTGAAAAGAAGTTGAGTTATTACCATATATATATATATATTTTTGTTTGTTTGTAGTTGAAATTCATTCTACAGGTCATCTCTAGTCTTTATGCAATATATAAAATACCTTGAGAATGTTAAAAAAACATATGAAGTCATTCAAGATAACAAATAACTAAACTTTCCACTTAGAACATATTTTTATAGTTTAGAGCAGCTTCATGAAAAGCTTGGATTTGTAGGTATTGATATAACTAATATTTAGTTATAGAATACTATATTACACTGATCTGAAAATGTCTTATTTTAACATTAGCACTGAAAAAGAAAAACATTTACATATACTTGTATCCCTGCTAATAGTGCAAGTGCTTTAGCCAGTTTTTAGCATCACTGCAGTTTTAGCCATATTTATTCTAATACTTGTTATTAGACTGTGTATTTAATTCATAAAGAATGTTGTAATTTTGTTATCACAGTGAAAAATCAACACTAAAATATTTTATAACGTCATCAGAAAAATATTGCTACTTTGTAAGCATAAAAATGAAAAATTTTCTTTTCATGTGGAATAGAATTCCAGATGCTAAATTTCATAATTAAAAATGATTAAATTTCTAGATTACAAATGTATACATTTTTTTATTAGCAGGAAAGATGCTCTGATTTTTTTTTTCTGTTATAATCATTATTGGTATCCTTGTTTAATTTTACATATAAATAAGTTTTAATGATATATTTGCACTGAATCATCTGTTAAGGGTTTCTGTTATTTACAATACTCAACTTTGATTTCATGGAAGACGTTTTTTTTTATGTAGAATGTTTTTTTTACAGAGTGATCAAAGATTTCATGATTCAAGGAGGAGATTTTGTCAGTGTAAGTACAGTTGGATTATGATAACACGCACAAGTGTGTTCATAGATTTTAAGAACTACTACAGATAAGATGAAACATTTGCTTTTTCATTATTAGATCTGGAATATGAAATACAAAATTGCTTTGACATGTATGAAAGTTTCCACATAACCAATGAGTATTATATCAAATATTTGGTAGGTTTAGGAAGATGGTTGACATTGTAGACTTACTCTGAAAAAGTGGCTATGTAATAAGTTAAACATGAGCCTCAGCATATTCTTCTAAATGTTTAGAATTAATGAATGCTAAATCAAAAGCATTGTTTTAGCAAGTTAACTATAGTCAACTTATTTTGATCTCTAAAAATATTTCATTCTTTTTTTTTATATATATAATTTAAGTATTTTTTTATTTTGTTTTCTACAACAACAGTATACTAAGAGCTGGGTGGCTGTTTTTTGTAAATGATTCAAAATTAGTCTTATAATCACACAGCTAGTTTTATAATACCTATTTCTGAGTTATCTAAGTTTGAAAAATTTTGTAACCATTTTGCTTCTAATGTAATTAATATTATTCAATTAGAAAATAATAAAATTATTTGTACTGTTCTTCTTAATTTCTAGTTTCATAAAATTTGCCATAAATGAAAAATGAGGAATTTTTACAAAATATTTCAGCAGATTAGCTAATAAGAATCTTTAGGCTCTTAATTTCAGAACATGTTTCTAAGTCTAGGAACTTTGTTGCTGACTAAGTGTGGCAAAACTATATAAATATAATAATCATCTTTCAGTGGAAGATAATAAGTATAATAAAAAAAAGATATGAAAGCAGCAGAAAAGTAGATGAATTATTCTTAATGGAACTTCTAAAGGTAAAAATAGAAATGCATACCTAAAACAAAAATTAATCCTATATTGTTGTTGTTTTTTAATTATTCTTAATGGAACTTCTAAAGGTAAAAATAGAAATGCATACCTAAAACAAAAATTAATCCTATATTGTTGTTCAGATCAACCGGCACCTTTCCGTTCCCAATTTCCAGCAATTGATGTAACCTCAGGAC